ACTAGAACAGAACTAGAACAGAACTAGAACAGAACTAGAACAGAACTAGAACAGAACTAGAACAGAACTAGAACAGAACTAGAACAGAACTAGAACAGAACTAGAACAGAACTAGACAGAACTAGAACAGAACTAGAACAGAACTAGAACAGAACTAGAACAGAACTAGAACAGAACTAGAACAGAACTAGAACAGAACTAGAACAGAACTAGAACAGAACTAGAACAGAACTAGAACAGAACTAGAACAACTAGAACAGAACTAGAACAGAACTAGAACAGAACTAGAACAGAACTAGAACGAACTAGAACAGAACTAAACAGAACTAGAACAGAACTAGAGCAGAACTAGAACAGAACTAGAACAGAACTAAAACAGAACTAGAACAGAACTAGAACAGAACTAGAACAGAACTAGAACAGAACTAGAACAGAACTAGAACAGAACTAGAACAGAACTAGAACAGAACTAAAACAGAACTAGAACAGAACTAGAACAGAACTAGAACAGAACTAGAACAGAACTAGAACAGAACAGAACTAGAACAGAACTAGAACAGAACTAGAACAGAACTAGACCAGAACTAGAACAGAACTAGAACAGAACTAGAACAGAACTAGAACAGAACTAGAACAGAACTAGAACAGAACTAGAACAGAACTAGAACAGAACTAGAACAGAACTAGAACAGAACTAGAACAGAACTAGAACAGAACTAGAACAGACTAGAACAGAACTAGAACAGAACTAGAACAGAACTAGAACAGAACTAGAACAGAACTAGAACAGAACTAGAACAGAACGAAACAGAACTAGAACAGAACTAGAACAGAACTAGAACAGAACTAGAACAGAACTAGAACAGAACTAGAACAGAACTAGAACAGAACTAGAACAGAACTAGAACAGAACTAGAACAGAACTAGAACAGAACTAGAACAGAACTAGAACAGAACTAGAACAGAACTAGAACAGAACTAGAACAGAACTAGAACAGAACTAGAACAGAACTAGAACAGACTAGAACAGAACTAGAACAGAACTAAAACAGAACTAGAACAGAACTAGAGCAGAACTAGAACAGAACTAGAACAGAACTAAAACAGAACTAGAACAGAACTAGAACAGAACTAGAACAGAACTAGAACAGAACTAGAACAGAACTAGAACAGAACTAGAACAGAACTAGAACAGAACTAAAACAGAACTAGAACAAACTAGAACAGAACTAGAACAGAACTAGAACAGAACTAGAACAGAACAGAACTAGAACAGAACTAGAACAGAACTAGAACAGAACTAGACAGAACTAGAACAGAACTAGAACAGAACTAGAACAGAACTAGAACAGAACTAGAACAGAACTAGAACAGAACTAGAACAGAACTAGAACAGAACTAAACAGAACTAGAACAGAACTAGAACAGAACTAGAACAGAACTAGAACAGAACTAGAACAGAACTAGAACAGAACTAGAACAGAACCAGAACAGAACTAGAACAGAACTAGAACAGAACTAGAACAGAACTAGAACAGAACTAGAACAGAACTAGAACAGAACTAGAACAGAACTAGAACAGAACTAGAACAGAACTAGAACAGAACTAGAACAGAACTAGAACAGAACTAGAACAGAACTAGAACAGAACTAGAACAGAACTAGAACAGAACTAGAACAGAACTAGAACAGAACTAGAACAGAACTAGAACAGAACTAGAACAGAACTAGAACAGAACTAGAACAGAACTAGAACAGAACTAGAACAGAACAGAACTAGAACAGAACTAGAACAGAACTAGAACAGAACTAGAACAGAACTAGAACAGAACTAGAACAGAACTAGAACAGAACTAGAACAGAACTAGAACAGAACTAGAACAGAACTAGAACAGAACTAGAACAGAACTAGAACAGAACTAGAACAGAACTAGAACAGAACTAGAACAGAACTAGAACAGAACTAAAACAGAACTAGAACAGAACTAGAACAGAACTAGAACAGAACAGAACTAGAACAGAACTAGAACTGAAAAAATATGAAACAGTTTTAATTATTTGAATTTTCTCTTTGCAGGATTTCCCCTCTCGGTGTGGCCTTCTTGATTGCTGCCAAGATTATTGAAATGGAATCGATTGCCGATACCATACAGTCACTGGGTTGGTACTTTGTAACCGTAATGCTGGGTCTGTTCCTGCACGGTTTTGGTAAGTTTTTCTTATCGATATAACAACAAGAGAAATCTTAAAGTATTCCTTCCCAACAGGTACCATTGCTGTTATATTCTTCTTGGGTACTCGACGTCTACCCTATCCCTTCATTGCCAAACTCAGTCAGGTCTTGGCCACAGCCTTTGGCACTGGCTCCAGTTCTGCCACTATGCCTTTAACCATTAAGTGCTTGGATGGCATGGGCATAGATCCACGAGTAACACACGTTTCGTTATCCCAGTGGGAGCTACCATTAATATGGACGGTACTGCTTTGTATGAAGCTGTGGCCGCTCTCTTCATTGCTCAATACAGAGAAATGAGCTATTCATTTGGTACCATAGTGGCGGTTAGTATTACAGCAACAGCAGCTTCTATAGGTGCTGCTGGTATACCACAAGCTGGTCTTGTAACAATGGTCATGGTATTGGATACAGTGGGTTTGGAACCCAAAGATGTATCACTAATTATTGCCGTTGATTGGCTGCTGTAAGTTTGAAAATTGAAAGATTAGGAAAGAATTGTTGTTATTTTATATAATGTTTACAGAGATCGTTTCCGTACCACCATTAATGTTATGTGTGATGCTTTGGGCACAATTTTAGTGAATCATTTATCCAAAAAGGATTTGCAAAATGTAGACAGAGTAAGTTTAAGTAAATTTGTATATAAAACATACAATAATTTTCATAATTTTCTTAAAAACAGATAAATGCTGAACCCCATGAACTGCTGGAATTAGGAGCTAATGGCCATGACAAGGAATAAAATAGCTGCCAGCCCACCCCGGTATAGACAGCATAGTCAAAAGCCAAATGTAGCAGAATTTAGTTATTTGTAACTTAAATTTAAACAAAATACAAGAAACACAATTACGACGTGCTGCTTTAGTTAAGCAATTTATTTTTGTACAGACAGATGTGTTCGCTCCATTCCAGAAGCACGTCTCTTGTCTTCTTCAAAAATATCTTTAAAAATGCAACCATAGAATACAAAATTTTTTTTATTTTAACATTTGTGCTCCTTTCAAAAGTACAACTCTCACGAATTTCCTTTAAATTTTAGCAAAACAAAAATTTTATTACTCGCCCCGCCTATAAATCTTAAAGAAAATTTCAAAAATTTAACCTCAAAAATAAAATATTTACAATGTAAATATTCTTGATTAAAAAATTATAAATAAATAATTTGTATTTATAGCAAAATAAAAAAAAAAGAAATTTAATAAAAAAAATAATAATAATTGTCAAGTAAGAATGTTATAATTTAAACAAATTATATTATTAATTAAATTAGTAATTAATAAAAATTAAAAAAAAAACGAATTGCCAAATAATAACAATTTTTCTCTTGCATAGACAGCGCACAATTAAAACCACAGGAGGAAGAGGAGACAGGAGTTCAAATTTTTAACACAAACTTTAAAGCTTTGAAATTTTAAAGCTGTTAACAGAAGCCACTAAAGCTTAAAAAATGTCAAATATTTTCAAATTATAGAAAAAAGTCAACAGCTAAGCTTTTAAGCTTTGAAATATTCCAAGTTTAAATAAAATAAGCTTTCAAGTTTTACTCTCTTATTCATTAAGAAATAATAGTTTATTAAAGCTTTTTTAAATTTATACAAAGCTTTATTAAAACTAAAATTTCTTTATGATTAAGAGCTTTATAATATTTTTTTTTTTTTTGTAAATACATACTTAATAGTTTAAGTATAAAGAAATAAAAATAAATGACAATAAATCTTATAAAAAAGTGCAGTTTCAAATCTTTATAAATTAAAAGAAAATTGTTAAAATTTTGTTGTTCTCAAACAACAACAAACTTGCTTATAACTAACTAAAAACCCTAATTTTAATTGATTTAATTCTTATACAAACAAAACATATTTATACAAACATTATTATGCCAAAAAAACATAATTTTTTAGTTTTGTTACAATTTGATATTATAATGTTATAAGAAGTTTATAATAATAAAACTTCTTCAAACCCAAACAAAACGTTATAAACTTTATATATAAACCTACCATAACAAACAACATAACCTTACATTATTAACAAAATATGAAAGAAAATTAAAAAATCAGAAATGAAATGAAAATGTTATTCAAATATATTTTCTAGCTGTGTAGTTTATGTTCTCAAAAAAATAATAAAAATGAAAAACAATTAACAAATAACTACTAATTGACTATGATTTAATTAGTTAGTTATTTAACGAGTTTACTATTATAAAACAACATTACACACAAGAGGTGTAGTAAGTATAACAAATATCAGGGAAATGTTTTTTAAGTGCAAAGTTCAATATTATTTTACAAAATTTTCCTCTACTGTTGTAGAATTACTTTACAAAAAAATGATTTTAAATCTAGAAGAATCAGGTTCAGAATCAGCTTTTCCTACCAAGATCTATTACCTGTTGCTCACATTTGAAAATTTTTTAACTGGCAACTCCAAAATTTTATAAAATCTTCCTAAAGATATGCTTTACTTTTTATTATTTGTTGAAGAAAATTATTAGGTTAGGGAAACAGTTTAGTTCTCTGATCTAGCAAACATATGATCAGTAAATTTAAAATGGTTTTCAAGCCTTAACTTTAGTCAAAGCTACTGGCAAATGCTATTAAATTTCTTGCGATCATTTGTAACACTAAAGCTTGATCTATAATAAAAAGAAAATTTCACTTTACCAGTCTAGTCTGTTGTCTAGTATATAGTCTAGTAGGCTAGTCTATAGTATAGTCTACAGTCTAGTCACCAGTCTAAAGTCTAGTCTATAGCCTTGTTAATAGTCTAGTTACCAGTCTAGTCTATAGTCTAGTCTATAGTCTAGTCTATAGTCTAGTCTATAGTCTAGTCTATAGTCTAGTCTATAGTCTAGTCTATAGTCTAGTCTATAGTCTAGTCTATAGTCTAGTCTATAGTCTAGTCTATAGTCTAGTCTAGTCTAGTCTATAGTCTAGTCTATAGTCTAGTCTATAGTCTAGTCTATAGTCTAGTCTATAGTCTAGTCTATAGTCTAGTCTATAGTCTAGTCTATAGTCTAGTCTATAGTCTAGTCTATAGTCTAGTCTATAGTCTAGTCTATAGTCTAGTCTATAGTCTAGTCTATAGTCTAGTCTATAGTCTAGTCTATAGTCTAGTCTATAGTCTAGTCTATAGTCTAGTCTATAGTCTAGTCTATAGTCTAGTCTATAGTCTAGTCTATAGTCTAGTCTATAGTCTAGTCTATAGTCTAGTCTATAGTCTAGTCTATAGTCTAGTCTATAGTCTAGTCTATAGTCTAGTCTATAGTCTAGTCTATAGTCTAGTCTATAGTCTAGTCTATAGTCTAGTCTATAGTCTACTCTATAGTCTACTCTATAGTCTAGTCTATAGTCTAGCTCTATAGTCTAGTCTATAGTCTAGTCTATAGTCTAGTCTATAGTCTAGTCAATAGTCTAGTCTATAGTCTAGTCATAGTCTAGTCTATAGTCTAGTCTATAGTCTAGTCTATAGTCTAGTCTATAGTCTAGTCTATAGTTAGTCTATAGTTAGTCTATAGTCTAGTCTATAGTCTAGTCTATAGTCTAGTCTATAGTCTAGTCTATAGTCTAGTCTATAGTATAGTCTATAGTATAGTCTATAGTATAGTCTATAGTATAGTCTAGTAGTCTATAGTCTAGTCTATAGTCTAGTCTATAGTCTAGTCTATAGTCTAGTCTATAGTCTAGTCTATAGTCTAGTCTATAGTCTAGTCTATAGTCTAGTCTATAGTCTAGTCTATAGTCTAGTCTATAGTCTAGTCTATAGTCTAGTCTATAGTCTAGTCTATAGTCTAGTCTATAGTCTAGTCTATAGTCTAGTCTATAGTCTAGTCTATAGTCTAGTCTATAGTCTAGTATATAGTCTAGTCTATAGTCTAGTAGTCTATATCGGTGTTTAGAATTGAAATCACTTAGGGAAACATAGGATCATTATATTCTTACCGAAATTTGTATATGATTATAATCCACCTTTGTATATGATTATAAATCCACCACCTTTAACTTAAACTTCTTGAAATACCCACGATTTCTAGTAAAAAATCTTAAAGCTAAACCATTATAGTTTTAACAAATCTCATTTGATTTATTAAATACATAGATTTCATATCGTATAACTAATACAAATTATGGCAATTTCAGTTAAACTTATAATTACGTATAATTGTTTTGAATATATAGTTGATTTAAGACCCAATAGCTCCATGTCTGTTGGCAGTATATCTTTACGCTAAACTATAAACATACATTTAGAAATAGAGGGCAAGAGTAATAAAGAAGAAAAGGACTCGTAGCACCAATATTTTTTTCTTGAAAATAATTTTTCAGCAACATTTTGAAAAAGAGTGAAAAAACTAAATTATCTATCAATTTCTACTTTTTGTTTCAGATGACCAGGTAAATCATTATACACCAAGGCAGGAACGCGGGCTATAAAGGTAATTGAAAATAAATTTATTAATAATGATCTCAAATTGTCAAGAATAGATCTTCAGAATACTTACTGTTACATTTGTAAATCAAATCTGACCAAATGATCATTTGTTGCGAGAAGCAGAAGGCACCCAAACGCCCTCCCTTCAAAGTAGAGTCATAGACATTATGAGAATCCAAGATTAGCTTATCACCCTCAAACATTCTAAGACGTATAAGACCAATAGCGGGACGATGTAAAAGAGACCATCTATAGGAAGTTTTCTCCTTCCAACCAATATTCATGGGATCTTTCCATAACAATCTCACTTGATCCTTAGTATCGCCAGTATGCCACAAACTATTACGCAACATAGAACCAGGCCCAGTAATACTATCCACCAATTTAATTTGAATACCCGGCTCTCCCGAGGCACGGAAGGGTGTAGAATGCCAGTATGTTTGTGTATTCTTTTTCCACATTACTATATAAAATTTACGATTACTTTGATAACTGAATATGAATCCGACATAATCATCATCGGTGTCATCGTTAACGTAGAAAGTACCCTCAAAATCAACACCACCAAAAGCATCATGACCCACCACTAGACCGGGATCACTATTCAAAGTTTGTATAATTTCCGAGCCATTGGCATGAACCTCCCAATTGGGATCTAGTTGAGCTTCACCCTCAGGATCCAATATCACAGAACGTATGGTACGGAAATCAGTGGAATATATCATGGAATTATTGGGACAATTGTCTATGATATTGGGAGTACCATCGTCGTCTTCATCGTATTCACACAAATCACCTTTGCCGTTTTCTAAAGTTATAGGATTAAAGACAGTTAAACTGAAATCCTCGTCATTGTTAATAATTAAAAACTTACTGTTCAAATCCAATTGATTGGGATTTTTGGCCAAAGGACAATTGTCTCTATAATTGGGAACACCATCACCATCCATATCATCATCACAAGCATCTCCCCTAATAAAAATTTAAGATAAATTATAGGATCGCATAATACTTTTTGCCTTTAGTTACTTACTTGCCATCATTATCGGTGTCCAACTGATCAGCATTACTAACCATGGGACAATTATCCTCACTATCCTGTATACCATCATTATCACCATCAATCTCACTATCACAAGCATCACCCAACAAATCATTATCACGATCCTCTTGTGAAGGATTCGAAATACTAGGACAATTATCACAGACATCTCCTATACCATCACCATCGACATCCAATTGATTTGGATTGGGCACCAACATACAATTATCATACTCATTAATTACGGTATCATTATCCATATCATCATCACAATCATTGCCCAAAGAATCATCATCTGTATCCAACTGCTTGCGATTCGGTACAAATGGACAATTATCACAGGCATCACCTACACCATCATGATCTGAATCCATTTGATCGACATTGTAAACAAATGGACAATTATCCTTGTCATTCGATATTAAATCGCCATCAGCATCATCATCACAACCATCTCCTATGCCATCATTATCGGCATCTTCTTGTCCCGAATTGGGTAAATCGGGGCAGTTGTCTCTTTTACAGTGCAACTCTGAACAGGGTAATTGTAGATCAGGCCAACTATCTAGATCACGATCGCGTCCACATATTAAACCATTGCCAGCCCAACCTACTTTACATTTGCATCTGTATTTCAAATTATCGGCTAGTACACAATTGGCATTACTATTACAGATTGTACCATCGGGACACATATCGGCTATGGGGAAGCAATTCGAAGTACCATTCGAAACAAAGCCTTCACGGCATTTGCACTGATAGGAGCCCTGGCAAGTGAGGAAAATAAAAAGAAAAATGATTTGACTATATTTAAGGGCACAAAATAAAGATAAAGGGAATTTACTCTTCACCAATTCTGAAGGTGAGGGAACTGAAAGAAAGGATTTCCTCCTACCTTCTACATTCAACCCATTTTCTTTAATTTATTTACTTTCTGTTAATTCCCTAAACATTTTATATAAACCTACCATTGTATTAACACACACTGCATTCGGTCCACATCGAGCCATACCATTCGTACATTCATCCACATCATAACACGTTTGTTTCTGATAATTCAAAGTCCAATATTCAGCATAATAACCTTTGTAACAGAATCAAATATGTTAGTTTTACACGATGTTATATATACTTTCAAAACCTATTACCATGCATGTGCATGCCACTATAACCCAAGGGACACGGTTCACATCTGAAACCCGGATTTTGATTAACACAGGTCGTTTTCGGATCACAGGGTTGATAGAGTTCACATTCATCTATATCTACACACAGGCTGCCATTGATACGCTGACTGCGAGTACAGGAAATGCATTGGAAATAGGGCGGTACTCCGATTTGTATACATTCAACTCCTATATAAAAGAGATACATCGGAAATGGATTATCTGCTCAATGAAGGAAATTCAATATAAAATAAGAGTTATCAGCGATTTTACGAAAAAAAGGTATTTTAAGTGAAAAACTAAAATTTTAGTGAAATGTCCAATTTTTTGTGAACAATCCAAGTTATAGTGAAAAATCGAATTTTTAGTAAAATTTTGAATTTAAATAAATTTTTAGTAAAAATTCAAATTTTTTGTGAAAATTAGAAATTTTGGCAAATAATTTTAAAAAGTCCGATTTTAGACGTATTTTAAAAAAAACCGATTTTTAGTGAAAAATTTTTTTAATTTTGGTAAAAAGTCAAATTTCAGTGAAAATTCAAATTTTTAGTAAAAAATCGAGTTTTATTGACAAATCGATTTTTTTTTCCGTTAAATACAATTTTTGACGAAATATTGAATTTTTAGTGAAAATTTAACTTTTTATGAAAAATCTAAGTTAGTGAATGAATATTGAATTTTTATGAAGTTTACGAATTGTTCAGATCACCAAATGTCTGAAGGTTTCTTAAATAACCATCAAAATCTAACATCTTGAAGACACATCCAAGTAGAGTCGAGAGGACTCCGTTTTGATAATTAGATCAAGATAAAAAACTTTTTAAATATGGACAAAACGAGCGTAAAACACGTAGATATATACTCTATCGTTTAAAATATCGAATCGAAAAGTTGAAGGTCTGATAGACCGGAGGTCATGGGTTTGATTAACCACTTGAAGCACGGTTATAGGAAACGCACAACAGGAATAGGAGTCTGTATTTTCCGGGTTGATGTTTGATAACTAACTAACTAAACTCACTAACTAACTTAACAAACGAACGAACGAACGAACTAAACGACGAAGAACGAACAACGAACGAAACGAATCGAACGAAACGAAACGAACGAAAACGAAACGAACGAACGAACGAACGAACGAACGAACGAACGAACGAACGAACGAAGAACGAACGAACGAACGAAACGAACGACGAACGAACGAACGAACGAACGAAAAAACGAACGAACGAGAACGAAAACGAACGAAAGAACGAACGAAACGAACGAACGAACGAACGAACGAACGAACGAACGAACGAACGACCGGACGAACGAACGAACGAACGAACGAACGAACGAAGGAACGAACGAACGAACGAACCAACGAAAAACGAACGAACGAACGAACGAACGAAAACGAAGAACAACGAAGAACGAACGAACGAACGAACGAACGAACGAACGAACGAACGAACTAAGAAAACGAACGAACGAACAACGAACGAACTAACGAACGAACGAAAATAACGAAACGAACTAACGAACGAACGAACGAACAACGAACTACTAACTAAAACTAACGAACTAACTAACTAACGAACTAACTAACTAACTAACTAACTAACTAACTAACTAACTAACTAACTAACTAACTAACTAACTAACTACTAACTAACTAAACTAACTAACTAACTAACTAACTAACTAACTAACTAACTAACTAACTAACTAACTAACTAACTATACTAACTAACTAACTAACTAACTAACTAACTATCTACTACTACTAACTAACTACTTAACTAACACTTACCTAACTAACTAATACTTTGCACCCTATGTTTACTTTTAAATTTTGTTGGCCTGTGTTATTATTGATCGGACTTCGAATAAATCATAATTTTCGGATCTTTAAAGAACTCTGGGTCTAAGACTACAAGTTGTCGCTTTAGATGTTGTCTGTAATAAATGAATAAACTTGTTTAATTTCTTCTTCCGTAAAATTCCTTTTGGTGTAGTGTAGGTTCTAGTACCTCTTATTTTAGTATCATGTTATTTTTAGTAAATTTTGATTAGATTTTAATAAATTGTTAAAGTTTTTATTAAAATGCATTAGTTTTGTTAGTACACATGCTTTTTTAAACTAATAAACTACCAACATACATAAATAATTAACCAGAAAATGGAAAATATATATAAAATAATATAAAAAAAATGAAATAAAATCATTAATAATACTAAAAATCGAGTACACAACACCAAAATATTGTTATAAATTTTAAAAATGATAAAAAAATATGAATGAATTAACTAAAGAAAAAGTAAGAAAAAATTATAGTATTTACCAGTGAAATAGTTTAAAACGTACTCTCTTCTTCCATAAATGAAAACACAATTTGCTAAAGCAAATTTTTATGACTTTTTTTTTTAAATAAAAATAAATTTTTAGGATTTATTTTACAAAGAACGTTTTTTTATTATTTTACAAATTTTTATTAAAGCAAAAAATAAATTTTCTTTTTTTAAGACGAAAATTGTATTTATAACTTATAAAATATATATATTACCCACTTTCTGGCAAGGCGTGGTCTTATAATTAAGATTCTTTTTCATTTAAAGTATGTTTAAGTTTATTAAGCATTTGTGCACAAAAAAAAGTTATTTAATTTTACATTTAATATTTTGTGTTTAATTACAAATTGTTTATACTTTCATTATTAATTTTATTTTGGATAACATAATACTTGGTGGTGTTGGTATCAGGGTATGGACCTATAAAGATCTAAAGCCCTGATATGTAAGTAGTGTGTATGTGCAAGTGTAAATTAATTGTTTATTATCAATTCTTTTTTAAAATCAATTGTAGTTTTTTATAAATTATACTTAAATATCTAATATTTAATTAATTATATTTTTTTCTCAAAAGTTGTTTATTGACGGCGTTTTCTCATCATAGTTTTGGTCTATGATGTCATAACCGAATATTTGCGCGCTGTATACTGCCTTTGATAATGCTGTACATTATGGGTTGGCACTATAATGCTTCCTATAAAAATGTTCACAAAATTCTTATTAGTAAAAATCAATTTATTTGTTTTTTTTTACTCAGGAAATTATTTAAAGTTTAACAGAAAAAGGTTAAACCTTTAATTTTTTTGGAAAAAACCATAAATCATTGTTTTAAAACTGTAGCGTGGTATGAGCTAAAACAAAGCAGACCTCCCTCTGTCATGAATTGGTTTAATGTCAAAAATTTATTTCGCACCTTTACCCTGTATTTAGGAATAAAAATACCGCAAAAGTCAAGGGTTTAGATTTAAAGTTGCAGGAGCGTGGTTATTTATAATAGGGAGAAGAAATATACAAATATTCACCCTTTGAAATTAACATTCATTCTTTGAATTTCTATAGGTTCAGGAATCTAATTTGAACTGAACTAGAATATAACTAAAACTAAACTAGACCTGAACTAGAACTGAACTAGAACTAAACTAGAACTAAACTAGAACTGAACTAGAACTGAACTAGAACTGAACTAGAACTGAACTAGAACTGAACTAGAACTGAACTAGAACTGAACTAGAACTGAACTAGAACTGAACTAGAACTGAACTAGAACTGAACTAGAACTGAACTAGAACTGAACTAGAACTGAACTAGAACTGAACTTGAACTGAACTAGAACTGAACTAGAACTGAACTAGAACTAACTAGAACTGAACTAAAACTGAACTAGAACTGAACTAGAACTGAACTAGAACTGAACGAACTGAACTAGAACTGAACTAGAACTGAACTAGAACTGAACTAGAACTGAACTAGAACTGAACTAGAACTGAACTAGAACTGAACTAGAACTGAACTAGAACTGAACTAAACTGAACTAGAACTGAACTAGAACTGAACTAGAACTGAACTAGAACTGAGCTAGAACTGAACTAGAACTGAACTAGAACTGAACTAGAACTAAACTAGAACTGAACTAGAACTGAACTAGAACTAGAACTGAACTAGAACTGAACTAGAACTGACCTAGAACTGAACTAGAACTGAACTAGAACTGAACTAGAACTGAACTAGAACTGAACTAGAACTGAACTAGAACTGAACTAGAACTGAACTAGAACTGAACTAGAACTGAACTAGAACTGAACTAGAACTGAACTAGAACTGAACTAGAACTGAACTAGAACTGAACTAGAACTGACTAGAACTGAACTAGAACTGAACTAGAACTGAACTAGAACTGAACTAGAACTGAACTAGAACTGAACTAGAACTGAACTAGAACTGACTAGAACTGAACTAGAACTGAACTAGAACTGAACTAGAACTGAACTAGAACTGAACTAGAACTGAACTAGAACAGAACTAGTACAGAACTAGAACTTTGAGCTAAACAAGGTTTAACCTAAATCTAAGTCACTTTAAATAGTTTTAATCCTTGATTAACTTAAACCTAAATTGTAAAAAACTAGTAATTAGAAACCTAAAGGTTTACAAATGTTTACATTTTATACTAAACTCTGTAACTGTACCTTTAATTTTACATTTAAGTGTAAAATAAAAGTCACTATTTATCTAAAGTTGAAATGTTAAACTTACAACTGATGACATAATTTGTTACGAAAAATTACTAACCTGAAGGACAAGGACCATCTAAGCAGGGATTACGTTTAGTGCAAGTGCGACCATCACCCTCATAGCCCAAAGGACAGGAATCACATTGGGCACCACTCACAGTATCGTGACATTGAACGCCTCTGTGAAAAAAGAAAGAAAAAAAATCAACAAAAAATCACACATGAGTAATAAACAACAAAACTTAAAAAAAAACTAAACTCAATGACTGACTGACAACCTTAACAGCAGAAAATGTTTATAAATGACGTTTTAAATAAATGGACATTAATCGGTACGTGCGGCGTTGTACTTTGGTATTAAGAAACCCAAACATCGGTAAGAACACAACAAAAACAGGCTAAAATTAATGTTTTGTTGAAATTTTGTTTTTGAATTGAAAGAAAATTTATTTACATTTCTTTTTTTTTTCGTTGGTAAAGTTAAGTTTTCTTTTGTTAATGTTTAAACCTGGGACAAACACACTCAAATTTAATAACAATTACAAGAAAATCTTATTAACTCTTAAACATACACACACAAATAATCTTTAGTTACAATACAAATTTCCGTATGCTACAATGAATCGACTCTATGTAAACAAATGTGTGGGTAGTCACATGTAACAAATTAAAAGGAAGAAGATGTAGTAGTGAAAAATAAATACCTTTAGGCCATTTATCAAAGAAAAAATCAAAGATTAAAGGCTTTAAAACCGAATTTCCTATACATAATAAGAATAAACAAATTTAAACATAATTTTCCTATAATACTTACTTACATACATATGTACATCCAAATACACTTTGTGTAAACAACAAAAATTTGTCAATAACTTCAAATCAAACATCAAATCTTAAAATCTTTTTTTGTTTCTTATACAAATACACACACGCACTCTTATTGATGATCACTTGGAGATAAAATTGTGATAGAGAGAGAAAATTCTTAATGCACTTAGCAGGGTTGGATAAGTTAGTAGTTTTTATAAAACTTAACTGAAGTAGTATTTATAGATTGCAGAGACTTTAGACTTTAGCTTATTTTTCACTGATCATCTTTTGGAGAAAAATCTTGGATTCATCTATCAGATATAAGTTCGAGAATTTTGTTATATATCAGTAAAACCTGCCCATCAATGTCACAGAGATACGATCAGAAATCTACAAAGTCTTTTCCAGACCTCCGATATCTTTCAAACCCTAATCATAGATCAATCTGTCAGATACGGTTTCGATAGCTTTGCTATTATGAATCAACAGAAACGTGACAAAAATTGTCAGTTGTATAATATATAATGTCCTCTGATATCATATGAATCCAAATCTTAGATGAACACATTATTCCGAAGACCCCAGGTGTCTGTTGGACCCACGTTTTGGATTAATCTTTTAAATTTTGTTACTGTAAATCTTGATTCACCGATCTTGCGCACCAAAATTTTGGATAGATCTGCCAGACATAGGTACGTATGAGAGTTTGCAGTGGCCTGTCCTTCTGTCCGTTTATTAGTTAAAATCGACATTACGAAACCTTCAGATATCTTGTGGATTCAAATCTTGGATCGAACTGCCAGTCTTATGTTCGAGAGTTTGCACTGGATGTCCGTCTGTCCTTATGTTAGTTGAAATCAACATTACGAAGCCTGTAGATATATTGTGGATATGTCTTGGATCGATCGGTCAGGCATACGTCTGAGAGTTAGCACTGGCCTGTCCTTCTGTCCGTATATTAGTTAAAATCAACATTACAAAGCCTCAAGATATCTTGTAAATCCAAAACTTGGATCATTCTCCATTAAATACGTCCGACTATGAAAATGCCTCCAAATCGTTTCAATATTAACATAATCATGATCTTTACCAAACTGATCTCTATTAACATTTCTCTCTCCCTCTTACCATCCCTGTTGTATGTTTTGAATTTTACGCTTGAATAGGCATATCATTGTTTTTTTGGTTTAAGGGGGTAGACCATGGAAGATTATCACAAGACATTGATCGGTTTATTTTAAAGTTATGCCAAACAGAAAAAAATTGATAGAAAAGCGTAAAACTACAAAAACCGAAACTTATCACATCAAAGATCGTTAACAGTTCGCCTGGTTTGAAAGAGAGAAAAAAACCACAAACTTTCCCACACTCTATAAGCAAAGAAAGCCCACAAGATAAATGGACAGACTCACAGAAAATAAAGTTACAAAAGAAAAAAAAAACAAACGGCCACATACTTGTATGATCAATTTTTGTTTGATCAAATATTCAACGTACTAAGTATTATCCTAGTTGTATAAACATATAGTAAAATGTTGTTAACATTATTTTTACTTTTGTTTTTAGCTGATTTGCTTTTTTGTTCAGTAAAGTAGAAATAACTTGGTTTAGCGTTATTACATTTGTAAGTTTTACTCCATCCAACCAACCAACCAACCACCAAAACCATCTAAGACAACTGTCATGAACGAGTTCGCCTACGCATTTTCTTTTCTTAACCACAAAGAAAGAAAAAAACATTGGCTCACACACTCACTCTTAACTTGGTTCATAACTATTTTTTTTTTCTTTACTATACTTAAAGCGGGTCTAAGCCATCAAACATAATTGTTGTTGTTGTATTTGTTAGTTGAGGTTTGTGTGGTTGTTTGACTGCTTGAATTTAAATTAATACTCGTATTTTTTCTTAGAGTTTTTGCGCGTGCGCCTTTTAAACGCTAAAATGCCTTGGGCGTTGTATATATGGCTACAATAATAAAAATAATAACTAACAGGCCTCCTTGCTACGTAGTGGAAACCAACAAAAAAACAAAGTGCTTAAAAGGAGGAAAACCTGGAAAAGAAACCATCTAAATAAAACATTGACATCTATGCTTTAAACTATGAAGAAAAGAAGCGTAAATACTCTCTTCAACAATATTGCATATTTTTATTATTATTTAATTTTTTGCCAAAGTTGTTGTAGAGAGTCTATAATATTCCAGACTTAGAGTTACACGCAACAAAACTATAAGATGATTCCTTAATAAAGCCACCGAAATCAGTTTCATTTAACTTGATTTGATTAGATCTTTTCAAAATATGCTAAAACATAGTCAAAAAAGCTTTTTGAAAGCTCGCCTTCATCTTCATTTAATTTCATTAAATCATAATGAGTTTCTGAAATAAATTAGATTATTAATGAAAAAAGCTCTCTCTAGGAGCTCTCAATACGATTTCATAGATTGGATTGTAATGTCAATCGATCTGGATCATAATGTCAAAGTTAGTTGTTAAAAATTTTATGGTTACAAAATAATGCTAAAACAAAGTCGGAAAAGCTTTTCGAAAGCTTTCCTACATTAAGAAATTCAGCTTCATTTAATTTCATAAAATCGTATTGTGCTTCTGAAATGATTTATATAATTGATGTGAAAAGCTCCCTCAAGTAAACTGGATATACTACAGTTCCTTCCAGAATTTGACTTCATTACGATACTACAAGACAATCTTGAAGCTTTTTATATATTTACCAATTTCACTACATTATTTACTGCTTTCTATTAAAAGCTTGATTATCTGTGAAAGCTTTTAGTACAATTTATTCATAAATTGTTGTAAATTCCAAATTCAAAATCAAATAAAAAGTTTTATTTGAAAAGCTTTGTGAACTTTGACCTCTGCTTTATCGAAATACAAACAATGGCTAAAAAGTAAATTTATTTTTAAAGCTTTTGTACTTTGAGTGTATTTGTAAGCTACTGATTGCTCTTAGTAACTCTTTAAATCTCTTAAAGGTTTTTGGCAGATGTTAACAGTTGAAGGCGTAAAGTTTTTATTATTAGAGATTTTTTCTTTGTCATTGCACTTAATTATTTTTATGGGTGTATAGTGCAGCCCAAGTATACAGTTGTTCTACAAAGTGGTTTTTTAGTTATTTTTCTTATAGCTTTTTCTTCAGATTCTTTTAAATTTTATTATAATTTTTTTCTACGCATTTTACATTTTTGTTCACACATTATTTAGCAAAACGCACTCGAATATTTGTAAAAAAACACATGTTCTCTTAAAGCCCTACGGTTCTGGGCACCGATCCTAAACTTATGAATTTTACAAAAAATTTAGATTATCAATTATTATACAATTAGTGACAAGCTAATTTAACATATTGTACTTAGAGGGCTTTAAAGAGGACATTCTTGGTAGTGGGCAAAATTAATGGCACTCTGGCTATTTTCTAGATTACTTGGGGTCACTAAAGTGACGATTGATTACTTGCTAGCTTACAAGTGGCGTCCAAACTTATGCATTACAGAGAACTAACTACATTTGTGAGTAATATTAAAATTATAAACAAATTCCTGTTAGATTACACATAACTGACAAATGTATGAAAAAATATTAAAACTGTCTAGGATACTTTAACCACTTGTAAAACCGGCGGAAACCCATCGACTTAAACTGCCGAAGAGTGTGTGTGATTGAGCATTATTTTTTTGTGTAGGTAGTTAGCCGATTTTGAAACATCTTGAAGCCTCTGGGCTAAAACAAACGATTTAAGTTTGTCTTCTTAACAGAGCCTTTACGCAGCACACACACACAAAAAACCCAACCCAAATGGCAAATTGGAATTATGAATTATGAGCATAAGGATAATAAAACAAGGAGTAAATAGCTATTTTCTTTTTGTTTGGCAAATTGCATGGTAAAATGCAAATGTTGATCTTCATTTAACTACGAGTATAAATACGAAAAATAATGTAAAAAGTATTTGTCTTTTATAAGCTTGATTTCCTTTTGAAGTTTTTAACTTCTTCTTAACTCTTTCTCCTTCTTTGTGTGCGTTTGTGTTTTAAGATGTTAAATGAAATTTTTTCACTCATGCAAAACCACAAAAGTAAACATTTAATGGCATTTTCCCAAGACCACAGCGATATTGAAAGAAGTTATAAAATAGACAACTACTGATGTAACAAAACGCAAATAAAATTAAAAAAAAAACAACATTAACACCATCATGAGATTTTGAAGGGTTTTCTTTTTTTAAACGAAAGAAAGCGAAATTTGTTTTGAATAAATATTAAAATAAAACAACAGGCTTCTGCAAGCGGCTAAGGCAGAACTGATATAAACACTACGATATATAAGGCCCTGAAAACAGAGCATAACTA